CGTGCCTTGTAGTACCACTCTTTTCACATTCAGTTGCTTCGATCTAAAGTGAGTGCCCACATACTCAAATGCTTAAAAGATTCTTAACAAAAGGCGTAGTTCTCTACAAAGTTAAAGAGGATTTTTAAAAATCTTAGTCCACAAATAATGATCAATCACTTCTGTACTATAAATTCACCATCTTGCATTAAAATATCTTTAGGAAAATACCTTAATATAACTACTTATAATTTTGCGCTTTAGTGTTAATCCTTGGGCGTTAAAATGTTGTTACCTGTAACGCCTCAGTTCTTTCAATTGATTCGTGTGTTCTTCAATATTTGCTCGAGGACCAGCCGCGGAGTAGAAGTACAACCTGTGGTTATCGGAGTTTGACGATAAAAATTCCATTCTATACTGATGCGTAATATGAACATTTCCTGCTGCTTGCATTAAGCATATTTTTTCTGCAGGTTAAAAACCTCCTGTTTCGTGTGTTTTGGTGTGTTAAAATTAAAGCGCTTTTAACCACTAATTGTGTTGATCACATTATTTAGTAATTTAATCGAATGGGGTGAGAGGTAATTACGTGCAACCTAAACCGATAAAACGGCATGATGTTATTGGCTGGCTAACGCTAGTTATGGTTTTATTATTTTCAAACCTTCCCCCTGAAAGGTAGTAAAAGTCATTTTTCAATTCGATTTTTCCATCATAAAATTGAGTAAAATGAAGTTTTACCCGCAGTTTACTCGTGAATATGTTTTATTCATTCGCTTTCCTGTAGGCCTGGTGCTCGGTAACATGCAAAATTTCATTTGGCACCGTGGGGGGTTTTGATTTTGAAATAGCTAATGGAAGGTAAGTACGAAAAATGCAATTATGGTAGGTTGTGTAATGTAGTAAAAGGCATATCATGGGGCCAAAGGTAATTGAGGGGGGGGAGGTTCAAGTGTGTTGATGGGCTTTGGGCGTTTGAGACCGCGTGGCGGAAATGGTGGGTCGGCGAGTTGCTCCGAACGAGGTGGTGGAGCGTACTCAGAGATACCGGACTTAAACTCGGGTTCCTTCTTTTTACTTAGCCTTGGACGTTGGAGCCGAAGTTTCTAGGACCCAAAGGATATGGTTTAAGGGGTGGACTTACAGAAGGCATTTATTTATGCTGATATGCAGGTCGTAGCTAACAAAATAGAGAATGAGTAGTCATGTAAGCTGTTTAGGGTAGGGAGTCGGTGGGTAGTACATCCAAGCCACTGATTAAGTAAGTTACTAGGTTGAGATTGTCTATTGCGTAATCAAAGTTACAGGGCCCGGGTTAGTGCCCGTCTAATTAGAAAGGAATGCTTGAGCCCGGTGTTTCCCTGGCAGGCTCAGTGGTACTTGACGTTACGTTTGCCTCCCTAGGATTCAGCCATACAAAGATCAAAGGCTTCTTCTGAATATCGAGTGCTTATACGGAGCAATTCACATCTTGTAAATGATGGTAAAAGGCATTTGAGACGAAGAGAATCTGGTAAACTGTGAAGTGTACCATGAAGTAATGTCTCACTGCGTAGCTCGATCTCTAGCTTATTTAAGACATCTTCAACACGAATTGTTAGGACAGTTGTTCTTATTTTACGTTTATGTTATAAATATCATAAAGTTGGCATCGTTCTTTCTTCCGAATATGATTGAAGGCCACTTTTTACTATGCACATGCAAGGAGTTTTGTTGGAATTTTAACAGACTTAGCTTAAGTAGTAGGTAAACGGTTGTGGATGCTGATGTAATCGCAATCAAAGAGTTTTTACCTCGCTATCTTGCTAGTAAATTACCTCATTCAACGAGCCAATGAATATAAAGGAATTACCGTTGAACAACATTATCATAAAGGAAAATATCATGTATTATTTCTAGGGCAAAAAAACTAATGTAAATAACCACGTAAACAAGAGTTTTTACACAATACCAACTCGTCTGACATGCATCATAACGGCTTTGCGATCAACTCAGACGTCGCATTGATGCCATCGTTAATCAAAACCATTTTGAAGGAACAACTGTTCCCATTTTAATTACTGAGTGCCGACTTGAACGTCACAAAATGAAGCTGTCGGCTGTGAATGGCCGAATCTCAAACGCTCATAAGAGCAGGATCATCAAAACAAAGTCGAATTTCGGCAGCCTTCCCAGTTTCAAGTTCCACAGAGCGGAATCCCAAATAGAAGCATACAATATTTGTTCATTAACTCTTAACATTATAATAACTTGAGAATAACTCCTATGTGTGGTTTAAATGCATTCAAATGACACCATTGCAGAAAGGAAAATGTGTACAAGGCATTGCTCAGTGAAGCTAATTTTATGATATGCAAGTCATCAAACACGTTCGCTGTAAAACATTTTCGAGGCGTTCACAACACTTGGCATTCGAATTTCGCAATTGTCGAAGTAGAAGAGTGACAACCAGGAGCGCCGAGGGTAAGGCTCAATAAGCAAGGAGCGCTTTGCAACGGAATGACATTAGTTTTTCTTTTCTATTTGACTATGTGAACTCTTCCAGTCTTCAGTTTAGGGCGATGCTCATTTCAGCTTCTGCTAAAGAACTTACAGCTCATCAGAGCTAACCCAAAGGTTGATGCAAGTTTCTAAGAATGAATTAATGGGAAGTTAAAATCAAATTTATTGCCTACCCTGAGTCGGGACGCTAGAGGGCTTCTGCAAAGTGGAAAACGGTGTCGATTGCATACTACGAGGCAGTGTCCCGCGTGAACGAAGCGGCAACGTGGACTGAAAGTGTCTGCGCAGACTGTCGGTGAACTTTGGCGCTGTATCCATTAGGCCCTGGGCCCAGGCCTCGGCCTCAGAACAGGTATCGCATGGCGGACATGTCGCCTCGTCTGGAATCTGTTCACCTTTGTGACTTTAAAAAGCGTGCAAAATGATTTTAAGGATGTAATTCACTTGGGAATGTCTCTAATGCTCCATTTGTACTCCAGAGAAGGCGTTTAAAGATGTAGGATGACATAAAAAAGGATTTTAATTTACATAAGTAAAAAAACCAATTAATGTTGTCATTATCTCTGAGTCGTATTTAAGCATAATTAAAAACCAATAATTAATGGACCAGATTGATCGATATGGCAATAGTATTTGCCAAATTCATTAATTTAGTCGTTTCATTGATTTAATTTTACTTATAATTAGGCGAAATGAAAAAGTGGCTTTTCAAATTGTCTTTTCCAACTTACCCGTGGACAGTGAGATTGGGATAGGTTCGAGGATGTTTGGAACAGCTGTGTGTACATTCACCGTACCACCTAAAAGAAGGCAGATTAAATTTAAGAGAAGGGAAAGCATAAATTACCACCTTTTTAATGCATGTATACACGCATTGTTCTGTTTGGCGAGAAGATTTTGTTGAATTCACTGATGAAAAAGGCACCACTTTCTAGTCACAGCAACATAACAACACTTTTGAAGTTCATGATTAGGTCTGGGCTCCCGATGGCGTAAGCTAAAGATAGCGTTAAAATTTGAGACCAAAAGCAAATTAAGCATAAATTATACATGCATTTGAAGTATATGAATGAATTAATAATTGGCGTCTGGTGGTAATGGATGCGATGTGAAAAGCTGTATGCGGAAATTAAAGTAAGTCAGTACTTGGTCGCAGGCAAAAAAATGGATTATCGCACACCCAATGCGGCCCCATTTTCAACCTGATGGGCTGGGTATTCGACTTCTACGATTTAAATTGGGTGGATTTGCATAAACAACATAGTTGTGTACAAAAACATGCTCCGTTTCCACAATCCTATGATTTCTCTACTGCTAATACGAGTGGGATGTATGTTGACACCAGAGAGTGATCGAAGTCTTGATTGATAACTTTGTTGGGTTCCGTCAAGACTGATCAAACTTACTGTTTCGTTGAGGCATCGATAATCCTGCTTCGTCTGAGCTCATTATTCTCGGCCTCGAGGACCTGGATGTTTCGCTCCAACTGCTCGATTCTCGTCTCCTGGTTTACCATGTAGTCGTACATCTCGTTTTTCTTCTGCTGCAATGTGGTGGCTTCCGTCTTCAATATGTCGTACTCCTTCGTCATGGCATTGTACTCCGCCATCACATGGTGCAGCAACTTCGCTCGACGCTCGGCTTTGATTTTAAGGTCTTTGAACTGTCAAATCCAAAAATGGTTTGAAATATGCGCAAGCCGTACTTTTGCCCTGTTTGAGGTTGTCAAAGGAAGCGCAAATGGCATTACTTTTGTGATGCACCCAAAAGTGATTGAAAGCGATTCCGTTTTACTTAACCTTTTTAAAGGGTGTCTTCATTCCTGATACACTAAAGCCTCATTTTCATGCTGTAACATGATAATTGAGATTGTGGTACTATAGAAGTTATAGTCTCACCGAGAAATCAAACATATAGGGATTAGTAATAAAAGTATGACAGACTTGACAGATTTTATTAATTCGGAGGCAAAAATTCTTCCAATAAAGCTAATCGATTTGCAGCAGAATTTTTTGCCTTTAACGCATTGGTTTTCGGCATTTTTTTTTTCGAAAAGAAAGGACTAATTCTGGCGAACTTACTTGTCTAAAAAGTGACTTTTAAACCTTGCTAAGATAATGCCAAACATTCACAACCCCATTTCGGAACTGTGACAATCCCAAAAAAGCTACTGAAAAAAAGTAGGTGCATATAACAGGAGCTTGGAGAATCTGTCATAATCATGGGGGGATTTGCGACTTGTAACGTAGATGAAGAAATGTGTAATAGACTCAGGCTCATAAAAAAACATTTTTATGAAAGAGGTTTCTACAAAGTCATTGCGCATCCAACTCAAATTTCATCGATGCTTTATTCATAGTCCCTCAAGTTACGCTTTATTCTTTATTTGCGAAGTAGAGACGGCCAGAACGTGGTTTTTGTGACACCAAACAGAATGTGTCCCATAAAAGTATCCCTGTGAGTTGGTGCTTAAGTTACAGTAGCATTTTTGTTACCAAGGTTTGGCACCAGGCATGTCGACATTTCATGACATAAGCGTGCGTAGGGATATTCTGAGTCAATTGTTAATTTATTCACAAGGCGAAAAATTATGTATGCAAAGGGTTGATTAGAAAACCGATTAATCCTCACAAGTACTCATTCAAAATGAGTTGAGTAATCAAAGAAAAGTAAAGTAAAGTAAATTTCATCCTTGTATGGTACAACATTGCAGTGGTGTGCTGTATTTCCATGAGTTCCCATAAAAAGGTGTTTAAATATTGCAGGAAAATTTGCAGTGCATTGGGATCAGTAAATACGCTTTCCTGAATAAGTCTTCGGAATTACACCTAACAAATACTGAATAACCGAACTCTCACATTTAATTGGGGCTCTTTGTACTTCGGGTGCATTGTATCGACTCGAATCTTTCCTTAAGACAAAAGAAGACACAATGCTTGGGCGGAATAGGCATCGATGACATACAGAAGGGCAGAAGTACAAAGGCGGAGCCCTAGGTACCCTCAAAACCAAACCGAGAAGTTAAACTAACTGTCAAGGTATTGCACTTTTAGCGTTTGTTTGACTCAGTTTTGGTAACTGGTCACGCAGGGCTCTGCTACTGTATTTCCGACGTGTGGTTTTACCTTCGGGCCATGCCAGAGGCCCCTCAGTCCTTCTGTATGCCCAAGTATCATGTCTTCTTTCGTCTTCAGGAAAGATTCGGGAACGTTACTCAAAAAAACACGCAAGCTGATGAAACAGGATTATCCCCTATGTATTCTTTCGTGAAATTGATAGCTAAGTGATTATTCAGCTAGTATTTTCAAAGTGGATCCTGCATAATCTCAGTTAATATTTAGTGGAAAGTCGGCGGGTTGAAAACGGGATCGTATTACTTCCAAACCACCGTTTTTTTGTGCAGCAGTTCTATATGCTGTGGCACTTGGGAGTACGCATATCTTGCACGGAATTGTGCCTGTGCCAAAATCCCTTGTAGCGTAAACGCTAGGACTACCTTTTAATCGCCTTTTCTCTTCTAGGTTATAAACGATCAGCAAAGGCGAAGATGCGCTCCACTCAGAGGCAAAGTCCGTGTATGCACGATTCTGAAGCATTATTGCCTAGCCTATGCATGGCATGGCGTAGTAAGAGCGCAACACATGAGTCAGTGTGTGAGCGAAACAGGATCCGTGTGGGTTGCCTGTGATCAATGTTGTCCCACTCATACCCCATTTGTGCAGTAGAATCACAGGTTAAGTAGAGTCGACTCACCCCCTAGGTTTGAGCAAAGAGTGGAGACACTCCGTACGTGAGTCATACATGATCCACATAATCCAGGTGACATTTCTGATTCATTTTAGCGAAAAAGAAGGTATTTATTTATTACAAATTAATAAAAGCTCATTATTCAATACAATTGTGTCTATTTATCGTGAAAATTGGAAGCTAATCGTAGCATAAATCGGAAGGTAGATAACGTAAGTCTTGAAGAAATGAGGGTAGGGTCGATGTTAAAAGGTCGTAGCCCTTTACTAGTCAGTAATGACTAAAAACTTGAAGCTCGTTCCACTTGACAGCTCATTAACATCGACTCGTAAATAGTGCGTAGGCTTGCAGAGCTGGTGAAATGGGAGATACTGTAACAAACGACTTTAAAGTGAACTGCTGGGGTCGTTCTGGTGGTTTATTGGCATCACTGGGACGTAGCATTGCATCTATTCTACCCTCCATACACAAGACTTTATATGTCAACGCACTGCAACTCAGTGGGCAGCTTAAAATGAGACAGTTGAGTAGAAAACACGCCCACTTTAAATATTCACCTGAATAATCACATTGAGAATTAAAGGTTAAGGTAAAGAAAATTAAACGCCCTAAAACACATTTACTTATTTTTGTAACAAGATAGCTAATGAAAAAATAACTGGTGAAATTTCAACAAATTTAAATTATTACCTAACTTTATATATGGGCACAAAAAGTGTAGTTCAAATTAATGATCACGTGTTTTGGTACGTACTTACTGTAATTTTTCAAGAACGAAATACAACTTTGGAGAAATTCGTGCCTATGGACTTGTAAGAGTCGGCACATTTTAATCATAACTTTATGAACTAGGCGATACTACTTCAAAGGACTTTAAATCAGAAAAATGGTAATTTTAAACACAAACACAACTTACGCGAGAAAGAACCTCCTCGAGTTGCGCCTTGAGCTTAGCAGTCTCCGCATTCTTCTTCTCCAACTCGGATTGCAGATCCATAGTGCTGTACTCACTGCTCATGATGACGTCCTGGTGTATTTGAGCTTGAAGTTTACAGAGTTGTGCTTTGAGATCGGTGACGCGCCTACTCAGTACCTTGACACTCCTTTTTGAAAAGACAAGGAATGAGTCGGTGAAATTGTCTTCTGGGGTATGAGTACAGACGCTCACTCTGGCAAGCCAATAGGCAAGGCACTCTTGTCACATTGGTGCAGAACAAGCAGTACTTATGCAATCACCTCACTGTGCTGTTACATCTCAATAAACCAATGCTATCAAGATCTGTGTGGCCACTAGTCATAAGATACTCACTCAATGCTTTCGCTCAGAGTCTGTTGCAAACGATAACACTGGAAGCACACGCTGTGAGACGAAACCATCGTAACGCTTGCCTCAGGCGCTGTACTTTACTCACCTACAAAGTATGAATTAAACAAATATAAAGAGGTGAAGTGGCAGGCTCTGAGTATACAATGATACAAATGGATGGGTTTCCAGTTTTGAAATTCTTTCGAACACCCTCATAATGCATGCATATTTAAAATTCACAGAGCAAATAATTTTAAGTGGCGAAGCTAAGTTGAACTGGAGCCGACCACATACACAGCCAGAGATCAGTCTGAACCCTTAACTTCAGGCCTGGTTTATAACCCTAACTGACGACCACTTAAGTGCGGAATACCCACTAACATCCAACTGCGGCAGTGCCCGGGTCTTATAACCGAAATGAACAATTTGTGCCATAGCGACGCAGAATCACTAGTGAAATTAATTGGTTATTTGCTTAAATCGGTGAGTCGCCTCAAAAAGATGCTTTGAATTTTACAGTTGCTATTGGTGAGCATAGCTGATCGATTGAGAGAATGTGTTGTGACCGCAGCCAGGGAGCACCTTCCAACTTATCCCTCAACGAAACGTTTTTAAGATAAATGGGTGACTACTTACACACCACTAGATGGGATAGACACTTAGGTTAGTGGGACTATTCCGAGGCTCTGATTAGACTGGCAGTTGTGAGAGCTAAATTGCAAAAGAGTTGTGATTTTCGCACAACGAATTTGAAAAATAGGTAGAGCTCCATGAGTCAGTCTAAGGAGAGAAAAAAGGCCACATAAATAAACCGTTAGTGTACAAATAAACTACTCGTCATGGAAAGTCTGCTAAATAATCTTTTAACAGCCCTTCAAATCTATACCTAAAATCTTAACAAATAGAATAAAAGGAAACTCAAACTGCCAAAAACCATCTTGTGCAAGCGTATCTTTTGAAACTTTTGCGGTCCATTAGTGAATACTTTAGGCCATGCCTAATAAATTATTTTTTTTAAATAATAGTTGTGAGATGTTTTAAACCAAGTCAAAGTGAGGGATTATTCTTCACCAAATTTTGCCATTGCAAAGTTATGCGAGTGGCGTTCAAGTCACATCGGTATGAGCACAATGACACACTCAGTGACACATCAGAATGGCGTACACGCTTCAAAGACTGCCGGTCACAGATCTGGCAGCGACGATTCCAGCCGTAATGCTTCCCTTTCCAATTCACACAACGGCAATTACTCACTGCTGTAAACATTCTGCCAACACATGAAACTGCTCTCTGAGTCTGAATGCCTGACTGACACATAACCTGTCGCGTGCCAAAGTTGTGTAAGAGACGAACTTTTCTGTGGGAATGATAAACAACACATGCATAGCTAAAATTGATAATTTTGAGAAGTATCAAAACAATCTCTTCAAGCAAGGTGCACTAGAATTTCACAGTTCTGCTGACAAATCCCTCTAGCTAAGCGCTGGGATAAGTGTGGCAGACGGCTATTTAAAAATATAAGCGCAGATTACATACCTTGATTAATGTCCCTTCCGTCTTTTACCAACTCAAAAGTACCGTCTTTTTTGAATGCTCGCCAACTTACCATAGTTTGCATGAAGGAATAACGATAAGTTTATTTTAACCACTTCAAAAAGTTGTTTGATGTGTCACAAAAACAACCTGGCGTGTAAACCCTAGTTAGTAGACTACTAGCAGCACAAATTGAGTAAAATCCAACGCCGAGTTGAATGGATGTAGTACCAATGCCAGCACACATGATTTACGAGTCTGATGTTTCAAGTAGACAAGCGAGCAAATTCCAGAGCAAAGAATGCTACCAGCACATAAGAGTGAGTGATGCAAACACATTTCGACTCAGTATCCCCACATGCAATACAAAATCTTCTCTGAGGTTACCAATTGAGAGCCATTGTAGGTGTGCGAGTCCTAGTAATTGCTCTGTCTGGAAGGTTGGGCTACTATTTGCCTTCATGGTCTGCAAGTGAAGAGAGTCTGAGCACGTACTGAATTGACCTCAAGGTTTAATGAGCAGTTCAGATGGGCCAAGCATCTCCTTAGTTGCCTGCAAGTAACCAAATTACAAACTTGAGAGTCTCCTGTAATGCAAGGGGCTGTCAAACCTGTTCAAGCAGGGGATTGCATAGCCGAAATTTCACATAAGTGAACCCCAATTATTAGCAGACACTTGCAGGTAAACATTTTGTGGACGACATTGTTTTAAAATGTACATTCTTTGTAAAAAACATTGTGTGTTTTATTTGATATCTCAAGTAGAGTTAGCCTACATGTGTTTTGTGTACTTTTATAAAACCATTTTTGACCAATTATCCAAGGATAAAAAGATTTTTTACTACATAAGAGCACATATCTATTAAAACCAAATAATCGTAAAAATCCTTAAATTTAAGGCGAATAAATCCTTTTAACTAGCTGTTTAATTATACTTTTCCTCAATCTGCCACCATTTAGCCTTCATACTTGCCGTATGGGCTCTGTTCGCATCATCCCTGTTGCTAATCTTCCAGACACTTTGTACCTCAAAGGCAAAACATCCTCCAGACTAGTGAGCCTGGTAACGTGTTATGACATGGGTAGTAGGCCACAATATTACATCAGGTAACGTCTCTACCCAAACCCTGTCCTATGGAAGCAATTAGAGTGCTTAACAGCATCACTACTATGCACATTGAAGTTACTGTTCAAGTCGGTTGAGTTTTTAGCAGCCTATCTCGCAGGTGGGCGTGAAAATGGGCTAGGTGGTTTTACTAATCGCGGTGATGTCAGAAAAAGGCACACAAACAGCCGTGTACAGTCACCGAGTCACCAGTCTGTCGGTGGCTGCGGCGCCATCTGATTAGAATATCGATCCACGCAACGCCACGAAGCCAAACTGCTCCGTGGAATGCGCACGCAGGCAGGCTGGCAGGCAGAACTGCGCGCACACACGAAACACGCGCGCGTGCCTCAGCCTGTACCTGAGTGTTTGTGTATTTCAACCAGTGTCTTCGGCTCGAAGGCAAACTCACTCCTCCATACGACAAAGCACATTAGGCCTAAGCCCTAGGGGTGTTGATTTCGTATGGTAATCACACCTTGTTACCCTATGGATAATCATACATGATCGTACACGCATTTATAAAAACTGAACTTATTGTTGCTCCTCTCTCTCATTAACTTAGCCAAGGGTAGGGGGAATAGTAAGTATGAGCAGTGGTGGAATTAGCCACAGCTCCAACGAAGACATGCTACTTATAATCAATGGGCATTCATGATTGGCTCGAATAAACTTCGACCCACCTTTTTCAAAGGTCAAATACATTTTATTTACTCTTAAATAAACAGAGGAAATCTTACGTGATTTTTAATTACAAATCTCTTACACATGCCTCTCAGTGTGAAAATAAGCGCATTTTCAAAATGACATCAGGGGCAGCATTAAATATTCATATGCCTAAAATCAAGATTTAGGGCACTTAGAGTTGCCACCCAGAAAGTAATTATGAGCAATATAGTATCGCATGATTTTGACGATTTCATAAATACACCAGATTTATACAGTTATTTAAGTGCTGTAAACAGACCAAGGCTGTAAGTTTCATAAGCACCTTCTCTTGCTGATCTCACCCCTCGGCGCATACCGAAAAACCTTCTCAAGTGCCTGTGATTGGATTTTCACTTTTAGAAGAATCAAGCAACACATACGTTGCAGCTCATCTGGCGACCTTCCAAAAGTTGTCGGTACAGGTGGTAAAATTCACGGCTTGAAAATGTAAAATGTTAATTTAATACATGATACAATTCCGCAATAGACTTATGCCCGACCTGGAGCGCAACCTAGTTGCTTCAACACTCACACTCTCGAGCAGCTCAGATAAAGAAGTTGGGAAACCAGGGGTTATGAGAACTGCATCCAATTATGTGCAAAAGTTCTACGCATACAGGTCATGGTGGGCCATAAAAGGAGATAAAACAAACGTGATATTTAACTGCTATTGGCCTTAATATTTTAGCACAAGTCCAACGATGTTAAAATAAGGGTGAGCCAGTTCTAATGAATGAAAACAACCCAACAAATAAATTCGTTCAACTTCGTTGACAGGCCTGAAGTACGGTCAAAAGCCTAATTATCGATGCAAAATCGAAAAAACGTCGCATAAAAAGTTCTTTTTTTTTCACTTCAAGCCCAGGAAGAGTGCATGAGTTAGCATCGGTATGCAAAGAATATCAACGTGCGAATACCAACATTACTTCCCAAGTGCATTTCCCAGGCTAATCCCACGCTGCTGAAAATGTCAAGTACCTCGCACAAAATCCCACCTCTACTGCGTATTACACTCAATTGTTGTCACCTTTCAGTTTTTGAAATTCTTCTGGATACGCATCAAACAGCATATCAGGAAACTCGTTTAAACATGACACCAGCTACTTAATATCCTTTTATGTAAAGTTTTGAAGCAGAATAAATGTTGATACAGTTTCAATCAGTATACGTAGCGTACAAATTTGTATTTAGCCAAATACCAACCCCAATCCAGCTTTTCCAAAACAAATTACGCTTTATTATTGGCGAACTGAAATGATCGTTCACCAACCAAATGAAAAGATACTTAGAAATAAGAACTTCACTTTTCACGATTCCAATGCTCGGATTGTACGGCAGCTCTCACCGTAGGAATGAGCTCTTACACCTGCCACATTTTTGGCCTGTTAATAGTAAAAGTCTGCGCCCGTTTGATAGGAATTTTTAGGGCCTACCATCCAGCAATGGTCGCAGGAGCTTGGCTGTCTTCGAGAAAATTCACCAAACTCGAAATTCAGCCATAGCACGTAGACCACTCGAATGACCAATGAATGATCCGAATGACTAATAAACACATCTCCCTCTCACTACGATTTAATTATTAGCATAAAATACGACAAATTTATCATTTCTCACTTTGCGAATGCCCCACAAAAAATTAGAAAAACATTACACTAGCAAATCCCAAAAATATTACCGAATTATGCCACAGATCTCAATGCAAAGATGCAACTGCTGTCATTCTGTGTTTTGCGACTTTTATTTTAAAAAATCCTGCATACTTCAAAATTACCAAGTAAAATGCACACCTATTCCTCTCCTTCGTCCAGACAAATCAAGTAGAGGGCATGGGGGGTTGCAACCACACACGCAGCGTAGGGTCCACCTGCCACAGCCGCGAAGCCGATAATCTTCTCGGCATCGGGCAGTGCAATGACCTGTTGCCAGGCCACGTGAACAACACCGGAGCCCGGCCTCAAATCACCAGAATTTCGGTGGCGCAACTCAGTAAGGGAGTTCTTAGATGGTTGCCAGTAGACGTAGACGTGACGGGTGATGTCAGCTACAGCAACGAAAGCGACAGAGATAGGAGCATCGGCGAGGTTGAGAGGAGGTGAGGCAATGAAACGGCGGTTCTGCTTGCTGGCGAGGACGTAACCAAAGGCCTGTAGAGTGGCCACGTGTGCCCAGGGATGTGTAGTGTCATGTGGCTGCGGTGCCCATAAAAGGCCATCCACGTCGTAGCGCGTGCAGAGAAGGCGTGAGGGTGAACTGAGTCCATTGCTACCGACACAAGTTGGGGCTATGTAGAGCATCTGATGACCTACCATTTCACCCTAATGAAGAAAAATGGCTAACTAAAACAATGGTCTCTCAATAAAACGACAAGATCATCTTAAGGCGATCCGATTAATATTAGAGTTAAAGCCAGGTAATAAACAGCATTGATAACAATTCGCAGCAAAACCCCTGCCTTAAGAACTATTAATCACATAAGCATGGGGTAAACTAGTAAAAGCGAATGGGTGAGTCATGTGGTTTTGTGAAACTTAAATCAAACAACTTATGGCATTTTTTGACCTTATTGAACAAATGCGTTTGAAGTGACCGGTATATCACTAAAATAATGCATGCCTCTATCTTGGTCGTTAGGATACAAATACCAATTAGAGGTAAGTGTGGTTCGTGAATTCAAGGAACATGGCACACTAATTGCCACCTTGGTTTGTTTCGCTATAGTACGTTTGAGTACTCTCAAAACAATCTGTTCGATGCGAAATGAACTTCAAATAAGCCGAATCAAGTGGTGGGGATTTGTGAATTGAAAAGACTAGCAAGGTATAGCTAACCAATAGAAAATACGACGCTATTCGATAACTCAGCATATAGAGATGGGTGATTGCGTGTGAACCTCTAAAACTAAAACGAGATTTAATCATAAGCGAATGCGATCATACAAAAAGACAGACAAGGGTAAACCAATCCTGAGGTCCGATCAGGCGTTAAGGGCAGAAAACAAATAATTAAAAGAAATGACTCCTGGTAGTTGAGACTAAAATCTAAAACTAACCCTTAGGACAACTTTTAGTGTTTCGCCATCAATGCGCTGCATAACACCGTCATCCTCATCTTCCTCATGAACCATATCCACGTCCTCAAGCTGTTCCACATTGAAGCAGCTCTGCATCATTTCACCAGGAGCGTCAGTGGTTGTTGCGGGCAAAGATCCCTCGTCATATCGAACACCCAAACGTCTCTCCTCGTCAGGGTCAGCAAAGAGACGCGGCCAGGTACCCGCCTCCTCCTTCACGATTGTAACGTCAATACTAGCAACATCACGGCATTGTTACTTTGGCATTGCAAGTAACTGGTATTTTAGATAAAAGGTACTAAGGCAGCGTTTAGTCGAGGAAACAAAAAACATGGAGATTCACCTATTAGTCTCACGGTCATAGGTCCACATAGTGCCACTATCTCGTACAGGAGCAAAAAGACGCGCATCACACAGCCGAAAGTCACCCTCCTCTGTATGCAATCCGACCTCCAGTCGATGGAAAATTAGATTTTCACCACGATCAGCACCACTTCCACAGGATTTACAGACAACATTTACAGCGGTTTTGGGGTCAGAAATATGATACTTGTCGTTGAGCTTTATGAGAACATTCAGAAGGGTGCTATCACCCTCTGGCATGGACGGGAGTGATTGTGTCCACGTGAAACGAGCATCAGAGAGGTTTTCCTCAACGTCGATGGCTTCACTAGGTGAATGGTTTTTCGGCGAAGGTCGGATGTCTGGATTAGCCGTATCAAGAAGAGGCGTGGGTGGCTGTGCTGAACGAACTGACAGGGAACAGGCGTTGCCTTCGAGGGCGATGTAATCCGGAAAAGTTGAACAGCACAGACGCCGATGGCGTGACATGCACCACTTATTCGAATTTTCTGGTGAGTGGAAAAGTAATTAATTTTCTGAATTTTGTTGAAGGAATGCACCTCACTGCGGTTAAAACACTTACGAGAGATTGTGAACCAATCGATATGAACCTTAGGTTTTTCCTCTCCTGCACTATAGACAGAAAGGAGGATGTAGTCTATTTGAACTGATCCATCAGCAGTTTGTGTCTGATTGGCATCGACCAAGTACCCTGATTGTGAAGCCAAATCAGCTTGATGCTCGAAAACCATCTATAAAGAGAGGGCTTAAAAATGGTCGTTTTGAAGTTACGTAAACAACTTTAGGACAAATTCACATACTTTCCAAAGGGACAGGGCTTCTGAAAATCGATCGCCAGTTTCAAGCAGGTAAACATCATCGGAACCGCTAGAGAGTAAGGCATAATCCCTAACGAGCACTAATGAAGCGTTATAGACTAGGGCTGACTCAGCCAACGGCTTCTGTGCAAAAGAAAACACTGTTTGGCCACTCGTAAATGCTTCTTTCTTTGAAGGAATAATCAAACCCTTAAGCTAACCAATAACTTATGAGAAGTGGTGAAATACCTTGCAATTTGTTGTTACATAATATAAGTGATTAGGAGAAAACGGATCCTGAAACAGACAATTGTGCAGCGATGAAAGGTGTATATTTGACCTCGAAAAATCATTAAGCGGAAGTGACTTTAGATCAATCCCTATTCAAATAGAAGAATCGAGTAACTTCACATACCCTCATTCTCAAAAGTGGCAATGATAGTCGCTGATTCATTAGAAAGCTTGTAGGATTGAAATTTTGGGTCAAGCAGATCGCGGTTTGGTAAAATCGAGACGTTCATTGTGATAGAGCACCAATTTCTGAATTGTTAATAAACATACGGCAAAAACAAAACACGTCCAGTACCCTCGTGATAACCTTGTTCCTGCAGTAGCCAATCACAATGAAATCGTATGTTAATAGTCGTAATTAAGTTAATGAACCTATTTGTTACTGGTACAATTTTACACCAAAAAAAAAACGAATTTTGCATTTTTACAGCAAGAGCAGAATTAAGCAACGCATAAACAAATTTTATCCTAGGTAAATGGGGACTTTTAAGTTGGAAGTCTTAAGCATGACACTCAATGGCTTTTGTCTGGAATTATTGTGCAGCGTGATTACTTTTGCGCATTTTCACCATCAACTTCTAGGAAAGCATCTATTTTACTAAACGATGTCTTGATTCTATTAACTGGATTTCAAGGTTTTCATCGGTCCAGATTATGATCGTCTGCTGACGGTGCCGGCTTCCTGGTCAGTTTTACGTGTCATCGAGTCGTAGTCTTGCTGCAGTTTGATATAAATGTTAATGTTTTTTTTTCGTGTAGTAGGCGAACGTTGTCTCTGAAATTCAGTGGCTTCCTTTGATTTTGAGCCAGCTGAATTCCACTGACACTTTAGTAGTATTCTTTCAAGGCACTGCATTTTTTTCCATCATTAATGGGTAGTTGAAGCTTTATTGAAGTGCATGCTTTATCGTCGCTTCATGAGTTGGCGATTTTTAGATCTTGAGACTAATTCTCCAATGAGCATCTGCACAACGACCGATGTCTATTCGGCTGCTTCACTAATCGGCCAAGAGCTGCAACTGTTGATCGATGAACATGGACCGGAGGATTTTGAGTGTCTTATGTACAGGATTATACATGTTTTGGAGGAACTTGAATACTGCGTTAGCCATTGTACTGATACAGAACAGTTGATTGGCGAACTCCAAGAACAACACGATGCGCTAAAGAGCGAGCGCAGTGATTATGACTTCCAGGATTTCACTTTGGTAATTTACACACTTGGCTTCAATATGGGGTGACATATTTGCATTATATGTTATCGTTAACATTTAATGATGTCATTATAAATGGCGTGTATTCATCGCTTTTTGTTCCTAATTTCTTATCGTCTGCGTTTACAGAACTTGGTTTTTACCATCGTTTATCAACTTATGAACAGAATTTTTAACTTATCCATCCAGTCACATTTTTAGGGAACGGAAGTTTTGATGGCATCTGCTGTTTTGTCAGGATAGTGCGTTTGTCATACGTCCCTTGATAAGATTGAATATGAGCTCTTTAAGTAGTTAAGCGAGAATTTTCACTTTTATCCGCCTGGTATATTTTCTTGTGTTAAGTGTCAATTGTGATCCCCTAAATTAAATTCATACTTCTCAATTAGTAAGGCGTGTAGTACGACTGCAGTACTACACCTTTTAATGGCTGTTAAATTGGAAGATCTGATTTGACTTAAATGCCATTTATATTTCATTCCCTGTCCTTGTACTACCAGTTTACAAATTGATCCATCACATAGGGAATACGTAAATGTACGCACAAAATTTTAAAGTATTGTGATACCTTTTCTTCCAGGACTTGGATCTAATGCAGCAGAGCTGGTACAACGAGACCCAGAGGCTGTTGGATCGAATTGCTGTGTTGGAGTCTGAGAATCACCGACTGAAGCGCCAGCTGGAGAATGTTGAGGAGGAGGTGGAGGTGGGTGATACACAGCCCTGCGTTGCGGACCTGGTGGCGGGGCAGGAGAAATATCTACACCGACCCTTCTCTCTACCCATAAAACCCTGCGAGGTGGACTCGCTGCTGGCGCACACCGAGGAGCGTCTCCTCCTCACCCATCAGGAAAGTGAGTTTCCTTGATGTTCTCCACCAAAAATTGAGCACCACTTCGTCTCACTTACCATACTTTTTTATTTTTACCTTGCTCAGGAAGCTTTAAGACGTATATCTCTGCTCATTCTTGACATTGCTCTTAAAATGAAACAGAAGAACGCTTCCCTGTTGTATGCCATATCTATCCCATTTCCTATTCCCAGGTGCTTTGAGATACCATTTCTAAGTATTTTAAGACCTTTCTTTTAAATTGAAACACTCAAAGAAAAATCTTATTGTCGGTTTCCATGTAAATCACTCCCTCCTTGTTTATCGTACTTACTTTATATTCCCTTTCATGGGTTTAAAATAGGGCATGATATAGGTTCGAGAAGTTGCATAGCTGGAAAAACACTTCCTTGAGGACTCTATAGTCTGTTTAAACACCGTGACATGACAGCACTAAAAACAGTAAAACTTTCTTATTACATTCATGATGACTATTCACAGTTGTACTCCTAGCTCATGAAGGAACAAAAGATTCCGTCTTAATTTATGCACATACCAATTTCAGTTGATGGAATGCCAAATTTGAGGCGCACTTGTCACCCTCATCACAGGTTTTACACATAGCGTTTCGGGATCGCCAATGCGATCCTTATCACTCCGGTTTACTATTGGCTTTAGGAGGAAACAAGCATTCTTCTTCGTGCTCGCTACACCTACTGAATTTTGTCCTCCCACTTGTGCTTTTTTATATCGTGAAAATTAAACATTCTATCTTTTTTCCGTTTTATGGAAGGTCGTGCTGCCGACTTGCAGTTGATCCGTTTGTTGAAGGCTGGTGTAATTAACCAGGCACGGGAGATTAAGGAGACAAGGCAGGAGCTCCTCTTCATCGAGGTTTCAATCGATGCGGTAAATTTTATTTGTACTTTAGTCTTAATTTGGCCTGTAATATCCTGTTGAGTTATTAATGGTAAAATTAGCCTTTGAACCACATGCATCGCATTTAAAGCCTCAATTTTTTATTTTAACGTAAATGTAATAATCACTAATAACTGTTCTTTCGACTACATTAAATTATACGATGTTAGGATTATGTTTATTTACTGTGGTGCAGTAAGGAAACATGTATTTTAATATTTTAATGTTGTTGTATGCTTGGCATCAGCATATTCACGTAACTATTCATTGCTTCAACCTCGTGCTTGCCTTTTCGTTTACTTGGCGGCCTACTCTTATTTACTTCAGTTCCACTTTGGAATTTGTCCAACTTTGTATTGCATCGGACTATTAATGCATTCGTACTGTATGTATGAAATGGCGGTGGGGGGATGCATGTAGGAAGGGGCCTCCATCTCCACTGTGATTATACTAGCTGGTATTAAAGTGGCTTTCCGACTCCATATCCGTTCATGAGTCTTGAATTTCCTTGAAGGATCTTATTTCAGTTGTGTTCATTTTATGCACTTTTGTTAATCGTATTATTGCGTTTGCAAAATGAATAGTGTATCATCTCCGTGCAAGAATTTATGGCTGCCAACTCAAACAACACCTTTATTAATCAGCTACTCATTGTGAGATCTCTTAGCCACACTCTCCTCCTGAAATGTGCGTCTTCAATGCTGGTTAAAGAATTTAGCGAGAGGAAACTGTATGCACTGCGGAAGAAGCTTCTCTACTTACTGTCACTACCAACCCTGGCATGCTGCTGATGCCAAATAGGTTCTCGTGGTAATTTTTGAATGCCACAATTACAAAATCATTTAGTAGGTCATTTCCCAAACCCCTCCATCTCAATCCTTTCTGAAATGCATTTATCCAATACCGACTTGGTCACTTAGTCTAACATTACTGAATGAAACGAATTTGGTATATCCCGACTTAATGGCTTACTTATTCCGAAGCAAGCTGTACTTATGTGGAAAGAAACGTCTTTATTTGCTATTAACAAGTCAACGGAATGTTCCGCCTTCATTCAGGTGGAGGAGGAGATGTGTCGTCTGGCGCGTGAATCAGGCCAACTCATGGCCGCCAGATCTCCGAGCCAGTTTAACCACCTCAGCTCCGAGCATGCCACGTTGGAAGCCAAACTGAGCGTCTGCGAGAAGAAACTGGAGGAGCTCTCCCTTCTTATGGGTAGCAATGAGCAGGTGAGGCTCGCTTTCCCTGCCCTCAACGCTCCCCTCTCATTATAAATGGCAACTTTTATTGCGATGTTCCTCTACCCCCAGTTGATCTCGCAGTGTCCAGATTACTTAGCACCAAGTTGGTATCTTTGCAGCGTATTTTAAAAGTGGTAATTTGGCGTTAGTAAATGATAAAGAGCTGCTAAGTTCTCATTCTTGTTTTAAATGGGGGCTACTTTTCGGTTCATTCATTACCTTAGTAATTGGGCAACGCCACTTACCCTTTTTGATAATATTGTAGCATTTGCAAGATGTGTAGTGAAACCTCGGCTATTAATAACCAAGATCTTGCCTTATATTGTCTTAGGCTCCAATCATCCTGAAGCTGCAATTCCGCTCTGTTTACATTGTATAGGTTTTATGCAAAGCTCTTTTCTATCCAGAATGCGGCAGGCATTCCTCTTATGCTCCGCCAACTTTTCTAAGGTGCTTTATTTCAAAACAAGTCTTATTTCTTGAACATCTCGTGGTTGGCTCTTAGTGCCTTTATCCTATGCAAGGAGTAGTAACTCTATTTCGAAAAGATTGAAGCGTAATGAATGCGTTAAACTTTAAGGCTTCCTGGTGCGTTACTTCATACTTTAACGTCCTCATTTGTTGAGAGGCTCTTATTCTACCCAAAAACAAATCAGTTGCCTTGTTCATTACTGAGGTCCAGCTTGGCTTTATTTCCGTGTTTTTTTCAGATAGTCCGCTACAGGGGTGCCTTAACCGGACAAAAGTCCACACCTATCTTGTAGATGAATTTTAATCTTATTTTGAAAATATTTGCTAATTTGACTGCAATGAAATGTGGATGTGAAGTGTAGAAATTCCTAGCCACTAAAAGGTTCTGCGGAATGTGTTGAAGCCTAAAACTCTGTTTTGTCATTTGTCCCATTTGAAACGCAATGATTTTAGTTTGCTGAATAGTAAAAGTCGGTTATAGTTTGAATCTTGGTGGCACTGTTTAGAAAATTCTGATCGTCATACGTTAAGATCTTGCGTTATTTTGTCCATGTAACACCTACCGTAAGACAAAATGAACTCCTCACACCCCCATCACCTCCCCGAAAACCAGTAATAATAAAATAAAAAATTAATTTGGCTCGCTCTTGGTTATTTAGGTTTGTTAAATAATTCGTTTAAAAAAGGATCTTTTTTGGTTAACTGCAACGTTTTTTTTGGCCACAGTTACCTCGGATCATTTTAATTACGCTGTTACCTGTTTGTCGTCAGTATGCTTGAGAAATAGTGATTCCTATTTCATGAGACTGCAGAAAGTCTTTTGTAAGGAGGATTCTGAGGAGTGTGTTATGTACCGAGACCGTGCATTATGTTAGTCCATCCGTCAATCACTGTAGGACAAAATTCTTCATTCCTATTTTTGTTCAAAGTCACTAGCTCACCTTTATCACATGGAGATGGTTTACAGGCTACGCTTTTTTAAAAAGGGATTTCTCATAATTTGTTGAAATCACTGTCTCGGCAAATGAAAAATTGACCCGTTTTCTATGCTTGAAGTGTGTGAATACTAGTTGTATTGTATAACTAGTGAGTTTTGAATTTGTTCAGTCGGAATATTCTCTTGTGATAATGATTTATTTCACCCCCCATGATAAAGTACCGATTCAAATAAACTCTAGACTTGTAACTTATTTTTGTGCTTTTGGGTAAGGGACAAAAAGAAGTAGCTATCACTTTCGCATAGCATAGGTACTGGTGTTAAGGAACGATTCAGACCTTCTATCTTACGTATCGCCGGTGGTACGTTGCTTCACTGTCCACACCTCAGTCTCCAGCTCAAACTCGTTTTTCAATCATCTCTACTCTTCTTGAATAAGTCCACTGAAAAAAGATATTTGTGGCATTTCTAGTTTTATAACATGCTCCATGTGAGAGTGACGTCTCGACAAACGTAGACCGTCTTGCCTTTCCGACTCATCTGCGTGTGAACTGCTCACAAGTGGTGCCGAAGGTCTTGGCTAGATGCTGGTGGTAGTTTTGTGTCTAGTAAATTTGCGTTCTCCTTTGGGGAGTTTGTTTTAATTTCTATGATCAGAAGTCAATACGTCCCGCAACTGTTTGTTAAGTGGAATTTGATAAGGTGTTTTAGACAAATAGCAGTCGCAGTGATCTGTCAGCAGGGATTAATGTGTGATTGTTTTCATCCAAAGAGTGAGGCATCAAAGTGCCTAAATACACATCTGATAGCACAGATTACCAAACTATAAGTGAATTTTGGGTTTACTACTAATAAGCGACTTTGCACTCTCGAGGAAATTTGTAGTCACAGAGTGAAGGACGATGGAAATTGTTGCATTTTATTATTAAGAATCTGGTGGACACTCCAGCTAGCATTAGTTGCTCCCACCCAGCAATGTTTTCATCCCATGTTCGGACTAAAAGTTGCTGGTAATCGTAGGTACTTGTCATGATGAATTATAATAGTTCTCTGTTGTAATGAACTACATGAAATGTTCTTAGATCGTGTGGTCAACTAATTTTGTTTCTTTATCACAGGTTGAGTCACCTCTGGCTCCGGCAATGCCGCTACACGTGGCACCGGGAGAAGGTATGGAGGCGGTGGCGAACGTGCGGGACCGAATGGAGGAGCGGGATAGCCTCCTGGCTTTGGAGCAGCTCCGTAGCCTTCTGTACGAACGCAACCGCCTGCGCTGTCGATTCATTGAACTCAACGCCGGACTGGAAGCTATTATGGACCGTGGGGAAGAGTGGGCATTTCTCTACTTGGCTTGTGTTTTGAGTTTTTTTGTGTTTGCTTCATCAGCGTTGCATAAAACCTGCGGTAAATCTCCCTCATCGACTTAGCTTCTTCTCCATTTTTTATTAATAGGGGAGAACTAGTGTATGGACCGTTGCCCAGGGAGCCAATAGAAAAGCTATTTCCAGACTATGTTCGTCCAAAGTCTGCGATCAAATCACTGTGAGCGCAAAGTAGCTAGATGGGGATGACCCTTTTGTAGGGCAATCAATAATCACCTTGGATTTTGTTTTAGTTTTGTGGAGCTGCTGCAGCGAATTTCGGAAAGGACATCATAATGCATTCCACTTTATCCGTTCTCTTTTCCCTTCTTATCATTGAGCTGCTAGTTTTGGTGTTCGGTGTATTGCTTTCGTTGAGCAATCTATTGTCTTTGGTGGCGCCTGACTGAGGCATTCTGTTGTAACCGTGCTGTCGTGTGATGCTCACCTTTTCGTCTCACAGATTATGTCCTGCTAGATTTCGTTCTCTCTGATACCAAGCGTTTTCTGTTGCCAATGCGCCTTGTCGACCTCCGAGGTGGGAAAGTGGCATTCACGCAGGGCCATCTTATTGATGAACAACAGATCTGGCGTGGGGTTGATGTGATGAAGTTCGCTCTGTAGAGCCACGATGGAGATAGAAGATGCAAACTTGAAGTAGCTCATTCAACAAAGCTTTTAGTCCGCCCGTGGTTAGTAGAATACGGTGGCTCAATATCCTTTGGATACATTGCATTGTAAATTCGAAATACAAAAACACGCTTGAGATTGTGGTTTTTGGCGTACTAGTGTAGGGACTCCTGTTAGGAAACTGGCATTGGGACGCAGTTAGGTGTTAAGGAAAATACGGCATATATGGACTCTTCAAAGTCTTTAAATCATTATACAAGCAAGGACACTTTAAATTTTTTTTATATTTGTCAGCATCTAATTCAGGCAATAAGTGCAGAATTATTTTTGGGAGTTCATGTACATCAGTTATTCGACCTTGAAAGTAGGGCGGGTGTTGCGGTATCTCCCCAGTGCGGTTCTCGGGCTAGTCATCCTACGGCACGGGTGTACTCTGTGCATCATTCATCAAATTCCTCAGGTGGAGAAATGCACCATAACATGCACAGTATGAAGGTAACGCCATTTTTACCGATTTAACTCATTTCAGATGTATTTCAATACAGATTTGCCATTTCATCTCTTGTTTGAAACGTGGCACATAGATACTGTCGGAAGTAAGAAGTCAGATGCCTTTTTATCATTTATTTGTAGAATTGATTGGCGCTTGTGCTGGTGTTTTTCTTCTGGCGCTTTTGTACGAAGGGATAAAAGTAATTTTCCCTTGACATTGTGCAACCATTTTTTTTCAATTCTATTCCTTTTTTGCACTTGAGCTAATTTGACAAATTCATGGCTATATTTAGGGGTTTCGTGACCACCTTCTCGTCCAAAAGTTGACTCCGTTATCGCCAGGTGGCCACGCAAATTCTACCATCTACGACGAGGCGATCCATTCTTCTGTACTTGCTGTCGATGGTGGGATGCGTCAGGGAGATCATGTGGTGCCGTTAGTTCAAGGAACTGGATCTGGGTAAGTCATTGTTGCGTTCATGTGCTTACGTAGGGTGCATCGGCTCTTTTACTTTTTACCAGTGATATTCTTCGTAGTATTTCATTTTTATTCCTAGTTCTAGATTTACCCGAATAATTAAAAGCCGTATTTCAAAGTAAACGGTGGTTTTTTAAAATAATCATTTCTAAATTATGCACTTTAATTCTTATAGGTATCCGACAGTTGCTGATTAATGACCTCATAATTTATAGTTTTGTTTTTTGACAACTCGCACTTCACTTGATCTCGGAAACCACATATCTTGGATACTGTTTTTTCCCTTACCTAAGTTGCCGTGAGATGCATGAAGATTTTTTCATTTTAAAAACCACGAAGAACCACTTATTACATTCCCTGACGCCTTCGGATAACGAAAACTAGTATTGTTTTAAGCTTTAAGCCCCTTGCGTTTGAATCCGCTATCGAGAAGTAAATTTGTGCTCTTTTTCTCTTTAAAAAGTGAATTTGACTTGCTCTACTATGGGCATAGTAGCAACTATGTCTTGGATGCCTGAATGTTAGATCTTTCATGATCATATTTCACTTATTCAGTCTCCAAACGTGAGAGCGGAAACCTGCTTGTAGGATTGTTTAAATGGTTTGTGCTTTGGGTTCTTAAAACCTCACTCACCCCACTTTTTTAAAATAATATTTGCCAGTCGGAAGGTTTTTAATTCTTACTAGAAATGGATGTAATGCCTGGGTGGGAAGAAGTAGCCTCTTATGAATTTTAAACTGGCTATTGATGAGCTTTACTGTAAATATTTCCAATCCGCACACATGCAATCTCATTAGATAAACAATCGCTCAGGCTATATGGTTTAACTGCAGTGGTTTTTTTTTCAGTCGAGTTTGTGTCGAATTACCACCTTTTCTCACCTCACAGATGGCGCAGCTACTGTAACCCGGATCACATACTCCAGAGTTTAATGCATCTGATCCAGCTCTTCTTCTCCTACATGCTAATGTTAGTCGTTATGACCTACAACGCCTATCTTCTCGTGGCCCTGCTCCTTGGCTCTTGTCTAGGCTACTTCCTCTTCTTTCGCCGCCGCTTTGTCATCATGGGTGAACAGGAATGCTGCCATTGAGGTGCGCTACGCCTCATTATGTCCCCGCTAACACACATCGTCTTTCATTCTCCGACCAGTCCCAATCCTCGTCTTGTTTCCTTGCCGATCAATCGTTGTGACAGTACCCAATTCCTTATTGTTCTTTCGCTTTCTAACTCTTTCCTGCGGATATTTGTACACTCCTGAGAAAGAATTATGAACCAGTAGATTTACTTGAGCTTATTTCCTAACACTTTCGCTACTAGCATCACAAATACGTTAAATGTTTCAGCCTGGTTAAAGATAAAGCAGTAAAACATACATGGGGTATCCTTGCCCTGTGGGTTTCTACACTTCCTAGTCTTTGAGTAGACCAGTTGCAATGCTTGAGCAAAAAAGTACGACGATTGCTATCGCATTAGGCCAACGGTGTCCGGGTCGTGGTCAGCTTTCCATTGAGACGGTGGAGGCG